TGGTGCTGCGGAGGGGCAGCCCTCGCTGGGGACCTGCTCCTCGCAGGCTGCTGCCCCCCGGGGTGGTCTCTGACAGCCCCCTCCGCCTGTCACCGCAGGGATGCCCAACACTTCTGGCTTGGTCAACCGCCGCAACGTGATCGCCACCTCGGATGCCACGGTGGTGTCCCGGCTGAAGCAGGCCGGTGCCATCCCGCTGGGCGTGACCAACTGCAGCGAGCTGTGCATGTGGTTCGAGTCCAGCAACAGGGTCTACGGCCGGACCAACACCCCCTACGACCTGCAGAGGATCGTGGGCGGCAGCTCGGGTGAGCCCCGGCACCGCGGCGCGGTCCCGCACCAGCAGCGGGTTCAAATGCAGCAAGGAAAGAGTTCCCCAAGTCCTCTGCGCACTGCTTTGACGTGTCGCTGGGCTGCTGCGGAGCTCACGGGCCTCTCTCCTGGGCAGGGCGGTAGGCCGGTTGGAGGTCCATCTGCCTTGGACCAGCTGGATGTTCCACCAGCATCGCTTTGGTTCGTGTGTCTTCCTCTGCGTGCAAACAGCAGTGCTGGTGTGGGACTTGGGCAGGGAAGTCCCACGTCGCCCAGCTGTGCCCCAGATATCGCTAGAGCCGGGGCCATCTGCGTGCGGGGGGAAGCGGCCGCCGTGAGATGCTCCTGCTTGGGTGGATGCTTTGCACTATAAGCCTGTGGGGATTCTGCTGTGTTTTCTCCCGTGCAAGGTGGTTTCCTGGGAGCCGCCTGCTCGGTCATAGGTGTGGGCTCCGACATCGGCGGCAGCATCCGGATGCCTGCCTTCTTCAACGGAGTCTTTGGCCATAAACCCACGACAGGTACAGTGGGCGTGGGGATCTCCTCTCCTCCCAGCAGAGATGCCGGGATGCGGAGTGCAGGGCGTGGGAGGAACCTGTTCAGCACATTCCAGTGCTTATCTCCGGGGGGACTGCCGTGAGAGGACGGGCAACTTCTTGCGCGGGACAAGCCCGGTGTGTGAACACAGCCCGGCCTCAGCAGTGGGATGCCGTTTGGTGGCACAGCGCCGAGCGCGCGGGAGGCGTTTCACATCCCCGGCGTGGGATGTTTTTCGCAAGGTCGGGATCTGCTGCTGGGGTGTTTCCCTGGAAGCTGGTGTCCCGGCTGGGTGCTTTTCCTCCGTTCCCCACCCGGGGGTGGTCCCCAGCATCCCCCTCCGAGCTCGCAAGGGTGATCCCCAGCATCCCCCTCTGTGCTCGCAGGGGTGGTCCCCAACGACGGCCAGTTCCCAAACGCTCGAGGGGTGCGGACCAGCTTCCTGTGCACGGGGCCCATGTGCCGCTACGCAGAGGACCTGGAGCCTATGCTGAGGGTCATGGCCGGTCCTGGTGTCAACAAGTAGGTTGTTCCTGCTGGTTCAAGCTGCTGAATTGGTCTCGGCTGCTTTCTGGCCAGCGCAGGGGGTCAGCACACCACCCAGATGGCTTGTTACTGGCTTCTGCAGGACCCCTGCAGCTGGGGCGGTCCTTCCCACCACCCCATGCTCTGGGGAACAGGCAGCCGTGGTCAGACGGGCCCTCCTCACAGGAAGATTTTGCCGTGAGCTGCTCCGGCCAGCGCCATCCAGCACAGCCCTTCCCTCCTGGGGCTGGCCTTGCTTTTGGTTTTATGTGTGCTTTTTCCTGTGCCTGAATGATGAGTTTCCCATCCCCCACCATGGCCCCATTTGGTCTCTTCATAGGTCTGTGCAACCAAGCAGCCTTTTACGTGCACGTACCAGTAAGGAGCAGAGTGGAGATGGGGTGGACTGGGCACATCCTGCTTCTTGCTGTGGCCTGCACACAGTTGCTTGCTCTGTTACCACTTTTGCTCGTCCATGGGTCTCGTGGTGCAGTCCCAACCTCAGCCCTGGCCAGGGTCTGTAATTATAAGGTTCATAGTGAGAGATGTGGATTTTTCTAACAGCAACAAATGTGCAGATTTTATAGTTGGGACTGATGGGGCGGGCAAGCAGCTGGATGGGTTGTGGGCAGCAAGTGTCTGTGTGTCTTCAGGGACTCTCCTTCCCACCCTGGTGAGTAGTGCAGGGTGTCCTGAGGATGTATCGCGTGTCCTGAGGATGCATTACAAGCATGTGAGCAGCTCTGGCAGCCAAGGAGGAGCCAGGGATGATTTGTGAGCAAAGCACTGTTCCTTTCCCAGGCTGAAGCTGAATGAAAAGGTGTCACTGGAGAAAATAAAATTTCACTGCATGGATCATGACGGCGGGTCCATTTTTGTGTCGCCTGTGGACAAGGAGATCTTGCAGGCCCAAAAGAAGGTAGGAAGGAATGGAGGTTGGCTCTCACTGGGGTGAGCCTGGAGATAAAACCAGGGGAGACCAGTCCGAGGAGCCCCTTGGAGGCGAGGTGAGCTGCTCTGTGCATGGCTCCTGGAGGGGCTGGCGGGGTGGGGGGCTGCAGGCTACACTGCCGTGGAGGCAGCCTCGAGTCCCGGTGCCGTGCCTCCAGTGGGGAAAAAAGTGGAAAAATCTTTCTTCTGTGTTAAAGAAGCAGCAAGGGGAAAATCTTGCAAGTGGCTGCAGATGCCCTTGCCAGCAGCACCCATGTGTTTGAGTGCACTGGGTTTCCCAAGTTTTTGGCCCCGTTTCCATTGCAATGGCTGTGTTTTGCTTTTTTAATGTCTCTTGTCCATGTTACAGAGACCTCCTGGGGGCATATCACACGGCGAGGGGATGGCTGTGTGTCTGCGGTCTTCAGGGTTACTGCCTGGCAGTTAGTCATGCAAAGGAACTTTTTTGTTGTTTTTCAGTTAGATCTTCTGTACTGCTCTTGGTGCTTTTCAGGAGCATTGCCGCAGGTGGTGTGGAGGGCTGCCTGGGCAGCTCGATGGTTGTTGTCAGATGGAGCAGGTCCTGCTGCTCAGGGCGGAGGCGAGCGGGCAGGAGCTGTGGGATGCCTGTGTGGCAGCAAAGAGAAGCTGCTCCTGGGCTCTCTCCTGTCCCTCGTTTCCATGGAGTGACTGCAGAACATCACATCCTTGCAGAGACAAACCCTTCCTACTCTTCCCCTTAGGTGGTGGAGCACCTCGAAAGCGAGTTGGGGGTCCAAGTTCAGCACGTGGCGATCCACAAGATGAAATATTCTTTCCAGATCTGGTCAGCCATGATGTCGTCGAAGGACAGTGATGGGCAGGTCTGTCAGACTGAGCTGGGAAAGGCACAAATTTGGCTGGCTGGGGCCAGCCATGGAGAGCTGTGGGTTTCCCAGACCTGCCTGGGGGCTTTCTCTGCTCCATTTGTCCTCCCCCAATCCTCCTTTCGTCTCTTTCCAAAGCTACACAGCCCCTTCTTCCTTGCTTTCCCGTAAGGTGATGATGTGGCTCCCAGCAGAGGAGCAACATGGCTTAGGGAAGGAGAGGCCGTTTTAGCACATTGACCTTTTCTGTGCAAGTTGGTGAGTCAGCCAAGCAGGTAGCATCCTTGCTCTTACCCCCGTGCTGTGTCCCTGGACATGGTAAATTGGGGTTAATGCCCATTAGGATGCCAGGACTGAGGTGGTAGATTAGCAGCTCTTCAGCAGCAGGCCTGCATGTGTTATTTTTTTTCCTTGAATTGTAGTCGCTGCGCCGTGCTCTGTGCCTGCGTGGAAGTATTTTGTAGCAAGAATAAACTCTGAGGAGTATTACACCTCGTGAGTTCTGCCACGCAGGCAGCGGTGAAAAATAAACCAACCCCTTGCTAAGGAGGGCACACCTGGCCCCCTCTGCCTCCTCCTTCCTGATCCCACAGGATATTAACAGCAGTAAATGCCTCCAGGAGACGTTATCCAGAGCATCATCCCTTGCATCGTGTCAGAGGAGGGGTGCTGCTTTGGGGGGCTGTTGCTCCGCAGAGTGAGGTCCCCTTCTTGCTGTCCCTGGTAGGGAGAGATTCTCCTGCTGCCCTCTGGACTAGAGCTGTGTAACCCTCGTGGTGGGCATCTCTTGTCTGAAAATGGGAACAGCTTGCGCTGGGGTCATTGGGCAGCCGGAGATTTGGCTGTTGTTTGTCAGCCAGTTCTTCCCCGTCGCACGCCAGCTGACGGTGCTGATGGAGAGAGCTTGTGTGTGTGTTCCAGGAGGCACAGCTATTCACTGAGCTGCTGGGGGATCACGGGAATCTGGTGTGGCCGCTGTGGGAGCTGATGAAGTGGCTGGTGGGGATGTCTTCCCACACCCTCCCAGCTATCGGTAAGGCTGGGAGGAGCCCCGGGAATGCTTTGGTTTTTTTCTTAAATGACGCTCGATGTCTTCAACTCAAACGTGTGCTCGAGGGGCAGTTGGCTGGATCTTTGATAGCTGGGATTGAGTATCCTGGGAGGAGTGAGGACAGCGGAGCTGCAGGCAGGGTTTGCTCCTGCTGTGAGCCCTGCCAGAACTGCTGGGGCTTAGAGGGAGCCAGTCAGGGCTCTGCACCAGTCTTGTTTCTTAGCAGCAGATACTGGAGAACCCTAATTAGTGCTGTCGTGCTGCTGTCTAATGAGTGCTGGGGTTGCTCCGCCAGCTCTGCTCAATCCCAGGGGCTAGAAAAATTCCTTGCAGGAGCGGGCAGGTGGAAAGCCTTTCCCTTGGCAAAGCTGGGGAGATGCTGCCTGCAGATCCATGCCATGTGCAGGGTTTCAGCGCCTCTGGGAGCCGGCGTGCCAGCAGGCAGGAGCCTTGGGGAATGCAGCGTGTGGCCGGGCAATGCACTTCCCAGCTTGCTTAACCACCATCCTCTCGCTCATTCTGTTCCTGTTGGTGCCCTTGCCCTGCAGCCCTGGGGCTGACGGAGAAGGTGATGAAACTCAGCCCTGGTGTGAACGCCAAGCTAGTCAGCATGGGGAAGAGCCTGCGGGAAGAGATGGAGGCCCTGCTGGGGCCGGATGGGGTGCTCCTCTACCCCTCGCACCCCACCGTCGCTCCCAGGCACCACTCCCCCATATGCATGCCCTTCAACTTCGCCTACACAGGTGAGCAGCTCCGGCTCCTCTGCTGGGGTACGGGCAGGGGTCGGGGGCAGGCCCTCGCTGCTGCGGGCTGGGGGCCAGGCTGTCTGACCCAGAGCGTTTCCGTCGCTGACTGTGGGCTTTGCAGTGCAGAGCGGTGTCTCACTGCTCCGGGGTGCGGGGCCAGGATTATGCTTGAAAACTGTGGGATTTGTACCTGCTGTCTGCAGCGGGGCGAGTTTGATGGCACGTGTGATCTCGGGGGGCTGCCCTGCCCCCAGAGGCATGCACTCACGCTGGTAGAGCTGGCGCGGTGGTTTAGCTGGTTTAGCAGGCACCCGAGAGCAGCTGCATCTCTTGGGGTGCAGGACGGGGATCTCTACGTGGCTGGCTTGAGCTCCCTGGTGCCAGCGCAGCGTTGCAATGCTGTCTGGCTCTGGAGTGATTCAAGGATGGTGCTGGGGGCAGGAATCTCCCAAAGCAGATCCTGGCATGCTGCAGCAAGTGCCGTGTAAGTGTGTCATCACTCGTGGGTGCAATTTACTTACGTGACGTGGGCGCTGGGTACCTCTGGCCAGCGATGTCCCCTTGTCGTCTTGTCTCTGCGCCGCTCCAGCAAGGACCAGCTCCCAGGTGCCCGGCGCCGTGTGTGGCAGCGGCTGCCTGCCGTGGGTGGGAGAGCCAGGCAGTGATTTATCCCACTTGCTGTGCTTGCTCTGACGCAGCCTTCTCTCTTCCAGCTATCTTCAACGTCCTGGGCTTGCCGGTGACGCAGTGCCCACTGGGCCTGAGCAGCGAGGGACTGCCGC